TGCTGTTCAGCATTCGGCTCACCGAGGTCCTATAGACGTCAATATGACGTCTTATTTCTCGTTTACAAAATGTCCTTAGTTGGTCTCAAATGAAAGATTTGAGGACGTCTAATCCAGACGTCTGAAAGACGTCTTTTCAATACTTCTAGAGATTTTTTTTGAAAACGTCCTAGACACGTTCTTTCAGACTTTCAATGAACGTCTCTTGCAGGTCTCATGTGAAAGACTTAAGGACGTCTTATTTAGATTAAAAGTTATATAAAAATGCAATGATATACAATACACACTTTAGGTTTGATTTTATCTAGGTAAGAAAAAGTATAAAGAGAAATCAAAGCATATAAAATGTTGTTTGATATATTTAAAATAAATTATTAGTTTTACAAAAAAATAGAAACATTTTTCCAATAAAGTTACACTTTCCAAATTAAAAACTATTATATTTCATAATCGATATATATCATAGTATAATCGATAGTATATTATAAATAGAAGAAAGTTACTTAAAATGAAAAATAAGTTAAAAATAAAAAATTTGATTATAGTAAGTTAAACCATCATTATTCGATATTGATATTAGTTGATGTTCATTTTAAACGGATAGAAGAATGCTCAGTTACTCACTCAATAAGTTTCATGGTATCCAATGAGCCGCCACTTATATTCTAAAAAAGATCTGTTCATATACTTAAAAACTGCTATTGGTTCTCACTAGCAACTTGGTTAAATTTTTTCAAATTTTAATTGGATTTAAGGGAGCACAAGACCCTTGATCACTTACCGGGTCCCTAATATTATATAAAAAAAAGGTTATTTATCGCGCCGGCCTTGCTAACATTGTTATGTTAGCAAGGCCGGCGCGATAAGGGTGTGTGTGTGTGGGGGGGGGGTGTAACACCCCCGCATCAACGACTTTTAGCCGGCAAATTTGACCCTTAGTCGGAAAATGTGACTCTGTCGATAGGTTAGTCGGTAAAGTCAGTTGGCAAATTAATTTCATGGAAGTCGGTAAATTTTATAAAATGAGGACCTTTTCTTTTTTTTTTTTAGACGGCAAAAGTGGTAATGGCACCCCCCCCCCTCACGTGACCCCTACTCGCGCCGGCCCTGCATGTTAGGTCTCAAAATTTATATATTTATATATATATATATATATATATATATATATATATATATATATATATATATGTATATATAAAGTTATATATACCTATATATATATATATATATATATATATATATATATATATATATATATATATATATATATATATATATATATATATATATATATATATAAATATATATATATATATATATATATATATATATATATATATATATATATATATATATATATATATATATATATATATATATATATATATAATTATATATATATATATATATATATATATATATATATATATATATATATATATATATATATATATATATATATATATATATATATATATATATATATGTTTTGTAATGAATATATTCAAATATATTCATTACAAAACCACTTAAATACATTTACAACAACCGTTTAAGGCTATGCTGATACCAAAAAGGTGTAATTTTACACCCTTTCATAAAACGGTGTAAATCTGAGATTATATTTTTGTAAAACGGTGTAAAACAGCTTTACATCATTTTACACCATTTTACACCGTTTCATTAAAACGGTGTAAAAATAGAAAAACTTTAAATTATTTAAATTTTATGCTAAAACGGTGTAGTTAACAAAAAAGGTGTTATTTTACACCGTTTTGATAAAAATACACCTACAGAGTTAAATTAAACTAAAACGATGTAAATTTACACCTTTTTCCGAAATTATTTTCAATTAACACTTTTTGAGGTTATATTAACACCAAAACGGTGGTGATATATATATATATATATATATATATATATATATATATATATATATATATATATATATATATATATATATATATATATATATATATATATATATATATATATATATATATGTATATATATATATATATATATATATATATATATATATATATATATATATATATATATATATATATATATATATATATATATATATATATGTATATATGTATATATATATATACATATATATATATATATATATATATATATATATATATATATATATATATATATATATATATATACGGTGTGATATATATATATATATATATATATATATATATATATATATATATATATATATATATACGGTGTGATATATGTATATATACATATATATATATATATATATATATATATATATATATATATATATATATATATATATATATATATATATATATATATATATATTTATTAAATTAATAATAAAATAAATACAATTAGATTTGAAACATTGTTGAAAAATTGTATTTATTTTATTATTAATTTAATACATATTTGCTCTACTTTTGTATTGAGCACTGTCTACCGAGAAATTACTTTTATTATTGATATACATATATATATATATATATATATATATATATATATATATATATATATATATATATATATATATATATATATATATATATATATATATATATATATATATATATATATATATATATATATATATATATATATATATGTATATATATATATATATAAATATATATATATATATATATACAAATATATATAGATATATATATATATATATGTATATATGTATGTATATATACATATATATGTATGTATTATACATATTTATTAATAATTTCTTTCAACTCTACTTTGTCATAAGTTGGAATTCATTAGTTATAGTTATTTACGTTAGACAACTTAAACTTTACTTGTTTTTTTTAAGGTTAAGCATGAGACTTGAGATTTTTTGCGTTATTTCTTCACTTATATATTTTACTCTAAAAACTTCAGAAAGGAGTTATGTTCCAACTTAATGAAATAAAATTATGTTGGTAGATAGAACTAATGGTAGAGAACTATTGATCCCGAACAAAATTTTTAACAACATAACAAGTTCAGACAAATTTTATATGAACTTAATGTTTTGAAAAGAAAAATTGCAATTAAAGATATCCAATACATTACTTTTGTATGCATGAATTTAATATTTGAAGTTTAGGGATCGTCCTTAAATTCCACAATGCTAAATATCATTAATAAACAAAACAAAAAAAATTATAAGTATTCCCCCTCGCAGAGCCTTAAGTCAAATCAAAACAGCTGATTGAGTATAATTAAAATTGCGGCGTAAAAAAGCTTTAGATCTTTTAATCCTTTTTTAAAAATAAATTTAGCGTAGTCTTATTATAGACTATCCCTAATATTTTTTTTTAATTGTCATGAACATTTTCAATGTTTATTGCATTGTTTCGTTTTAGGTAAAACAGTTATCATTAATTGGTGGTAAAGTCCAGCTGATACAATTTATAATGTTTTGCTAATTTTAGTAAATATTACAATTTTTTATGATTTAAAAAAAGTTTGAATTTTA